TTCTTTGCCAATTCCTTCAATGCACCTTGGTTCTTGATCATATGCTACTTCTTGAAATGGTTCAACATTAACCATTTCCTTTTGGTACAGTGACTCTGTGTATTCCTTCCATCTTCTCTTAATGCTTTCTGCATCAATCAATAATTCCCCCAGTGAAGCTTTCAATAACAAAAGTTGAAGCTTGCATTTTTTCTTCGGTTCCCTCAGCTTGAGAAATGCTGAGTGTGTTCTTCTTCCATTTTGGTTTTCTGACTCCAGATTTTTTGCACATTTTATTGTAATATTTGGCGTTATCTTCTTGAGCTGATCTTTTAAATCTTCTGTTCAGCTCTTGGACCTCCTCATTTCTTCCATTTGCTTTAGCATCTCTACGCTTGAGAACAAGTTTCAGTGTCGCTTCTGACATCCATTTTGACCGTTTCCTTTCCTTCTTGTCTTCTTAATGACTTTTTGCTTTCTTCAGTTATGATGTTCTTGTTGTCATCCCATAATGCTTCTGATCTTCTGTCTTTAGTGTATAATGTATCAAATCTGTACTTCAGATGATCTCTAAATTGAGACGGGATATATTCAAGGTCATACTTTGGCTCTCTTGGACTTGTTTCATTTTATTCAGCGTCAGTTTGAATTTGCATATGAGTAATTGATGGTCTGTTTCACAGTCTGCCCCTGGCCTTGTTTTCACTGATGATATGGAGCTTTTCCATTATCTCTTTCTGCAGATGTAGTCAATTTGATTTCTATGTATTCCAACTGGTGAGGTCCATGTGTATAGCCATCTCTTATGTTGTCTAAAGAAGGTATTTGAAATAAATAAATCATTGGTTTTGCAGAACTCTATTATGCGATCTCCAGCATCATTTCTATCACCAAAGCCATATTTTCGAACTACTGATCCTTCCTCTTTGCTCCCAACCTTTGTATTCCAATCACCAGTAATGATCAATACATCTTGATTGCATGTTTCATCTATTTCAGATTGAAGAAGTTGGTAGAATTCTTCTATTTCATCCTCACTGGCTTTAGTGGTTGGTGCATAAATTTGAATAATAGTGGTATTAACAGGGTTTCCCTATAGGTGCATGGATATTATCCTATCACAGACAGCGTTGTACCTCATGACTGATCTGTATATGTTCTTTTTGATGATGAATGCAACACCATCCCTCATCAATTTGTCATTCCCGGCACAGTAGACCATGTAGTTGTCAGATTCAAAATGGCCAATACCAGTCCATTTCAGCTCACTAATGCCTAAGATATTGATCTTTATGCATTCCATTTAATTTTTGACAACTTCCGATTTTCCTAGATCCATACTTCATACATTCCATGTTCCAATTTCCAGTGGATGTTTACAGCTGTTTCTCTTCATTTTGTGTTGTGCCCCATCAGCAAATGAAGCTCCCACAGGCTTTTCTCCCACAGGCTTGCTCCGTTTGCGTCATCACAGTCAACTGTACGTTGAGGAGGCAGCTCTTCCCCAGTTGCATTTTGAGTGCATTCCAACCTGAGGGGCTCATTGTCTGGCACTATATCTGACAGTGTTTCTCTGCTATTCATAAGGTTTTCAATGACTAAATATTTAGAAGTAGTTCATCACTCTTTCTTCCTAGTCTGTCTTCATTTGGAAGCTCCACTGAAACCTGTCCACCATGGGTGACCCTGCTGGTATTTAAAATACCATGGCATAGCTTTCAAAATTACAGAAACTCACAAGCCACCACGGTATGAGAAACATAAGAAATTAAGCGATGCATTGCATTAGGCAAATCTGCTACATAAGACCTTTTTACAGTGTTCAAAAGCAAAAATGTCAATTTGAGGACTAAGGTGTACCTGAAGCAAACTATGGTATTTTCAGTAGCATCATATGCATGTGATAGTTGGACAATGAATAAGGAAGTCTGTAAAAGTATTGATACATTTGAGTTATGGTGTTGGAGGGAAATATTAAAAGAACCATGGACTGCTAAAGGAAAAAAAAAAATCTGAGTTGGATGAAGTACAGCCAGAATGCTTCTTAGAATCCAGGATGGCCAGACATGATCTCTTATACTTAGGACATATTATCAGGAAGGACCAGTCCCTGGAGAAGGACCAGTCCCTGGAGAAGGACATCATACTTGCTAAAGTGGAGGGACAACAAGAAAGAGGAAGAATCCCAACAGGATGGCATGCACAGAGGCAGCAGCAATGGGCTCAAGTGTAGCAATGATTGTGAAGTTGGCTCAGGACTGAGCAGTGTTTCATTCTCTTGTGCATAGGGTCGCTATGAGTCGGTACTGACTTGATGATACCTAACAACAACGCATATTGAAGTGTAGGAAACACCATGAGAAGGTGCTACTTTGTTACATGAGTCAAAAAATGACATAACAGCAGCAACAACTTAAAGTTATTTAGAAGGTGAATTTAATTAGCTTGGATTTACAGATGAGCAAAGGCAATGATAGATCCATTGACTTGCCCAAAGAATTTCCAAGACTTGCAGCTAGAGTACTCTTTGGAGACCAGGATGGCCAGTCTTCGTGTCTCATACTTTGGACATATTATTAGGCGGGACCAGTCGCTGGAGAAGGATATCGTGTTTGGTAAGGTGGAGGGTCAGAGAAAAAGGGGAAGATCCACAGTGAGTTGGATTGGTAAAATGGCAGCATCAGTAGGCTCAACCGTGGCAACAATTGTGAGGTTGGCTCAGGACTGGGCAGTGTTTTGTTCTGTTGTGCATAGAGTCACTATGAGTTAGTACCGACTCAATGGCACCTAACAACAACAACAAAATGTTAACATTGGAGTCCTGGTTTGGTACTGTAGGATAAACACTGGACCAAAAGTTTGGTTTAAACCGGAGGGTCAGTGGTTCAAATTCACCAGTCACTCCTTGGAAACTCTATTCAGGGTCGCTATGGGTCAGAATTGACTCGACGTCACTTAACAACAAATGATAACATATGAAATTATAGTGGATACATATATAGTAAATGATGGACCTTCACCCAAGCTTCAGACTAATTTCAAAGGTCATCTGATTAGGGGTTCCCTTAGAACTGCAGCTATTGCTTTTGCTGTTGTTGAGTACTGTCTAGTTATTTCCAACTTATAGCGACCTTGTGTAGGATTTTCAAGGAGCAGTTGGTGACGATGAACCACTAGTCTTGCAGTTGTGTTGTTGTTATGTACTGTGGATTCGGTTCCGACTCATAGTGACCCTGTACAGGGTTTCCAAGGCTGTAAATCTTTACAGGAGCAGAAAGTTTCATCTTTTTCCCATGGGACAGCTGGTAGTTTTGAATTGCTGACCTTGTGGTTCGCAGCCCGATTCGTAACCACTACACTACCAGAGTTCCTTAGTCTTGCAGTAGTAGTCCAGTATTTATTATCCAACATGCTACACAAAAAAGTCACTTTCAATTAATCAATTACAAATGCTTTTTCTCCTGTCTGACAAAGACGAGGCTTGTTGAATAGAGACATATTTGAAAATTGGGCTCTATCAGCCCCCTCCACCATTATCCTGGTGTAGGAAAACAAATAATTTAACCTGAGGCTCTGTCTTCATCTTTATTTCTCTCTGTAGGTCTTTCTTTTTCAACTACTTTTCCTAATACACCCACCACAGTCACCTTTTTCATTGAATCTGACATTTTCCTATGAGGCTATCTGGGAGTCTGGTTCTCAGAAAACTTGGTTTCAGTTTGTGTTTCTCCCAATAATTATAAGACTTAACCTCACAGGGATTAAAGAGTCTCCAAACCCCTCTTCAGCACAAAGTCATGTGCTTCCTGACCATCGGTGATGCATTGGTGTGGGCCATTATGCTGAAACCTTGGTTGAATTCATTCAGCCTCTGCTTCTGCTGATTCATCATCAGGTCCCCTACCTCAGAATCCTTTTGGTGTTTTTTGTTTTTTGTTTTTCTCTACTGGTACACAAGATGTGTTTTCCAAAATTAGATCATATCCAGGAAGGGACCTGCTGTCCCACTTGCTGCTGTGTTGTTCTCACACATTAGTATTCAATCACAACTCGTGAAAAGGTCATTTTGTTCTTAGTGTTTGCCTTAACCTAAGAGATAAGTTGGATTTCATTTTTTGGCAGATATTTTTAGTCCTTTTTCCAATTTTTGGAAAGAATGTAATTTTGGAAATATTTTCTCTGTTAGACTATTAGCATACTTATGCTGATCCACTCCTTTCCACTCCTCTTGTGAAACCATGGTTTTCCCATGACCTTAGTTACAGTAAAAACTAGTAGTGAAACTGGACATTTGATTAAGCATTTTGCCCCCACGTCCTCTGACACAAGCCCACTCTTTCTATGGATCCTTCTGCCTTGACTGGGTCATGCCTCACGGTCAGTCTGTGACCTAGTCTGGACCAGAACTCAAGTTCTTATTGGGTTTCTGGATTCATTCTACCCAACCCATAGACTGCCTCTGAATATACGATGCGTTTTCTTTCCCTATATGTCTTTTTTTTTTTTTAATAATAAAATATATATTCTCAGAAACTTATGAAAATTTAAAAACAAAAGTTTTCAAACGCACCAAGATCACTTTAAGAATCTAAAGGTGGTGTAGGCAGGATGCAGGTATAGGGACTCCATCTCCTGTGACCCTCATCTTCCCCGGAAATGCCACTGTCCAAACATTGATTACAGGACATTCCCAGGGCCAAGAAGGAGGCAGATGATACCTGGAGCTCAACAAACATTTTTCACTTCTGGCTCCCCAGCCCTGACCCTCCCATGCACTTCACAGAGTGCCCCCCTTTCCCAGAAGCTCTGCCAGCTCAGGGGCCAGTCAGTCAGGCCTGCACCCTCCTCCCAGGTGATTGGCTGGCACAGCCTGGGAGGCTGGTTTGACTGGAAGGTAAAGGAGCTGGCGGGCCGGGTGGCGCCGATCGCAGAGTGGAGGAGCGGCCAGAGGAGCACAGCAGACACTGGCCTGCGATTCACCAATTAGCGCAAACTTAGGAATTCACCCTAACTTCGTCCAGGGCCGGCAGGGTGCGGCGGGCACCAGAGCACTATCCACCAATCAGCGCGAATTTAAGAGTTTGCCCACAGGGAGCCGGAAGCCGGCAGCCTGTACCAAAGCGCCCAGACACATAGGGTTTGGAGCACCGGCGGCTATGCCCGCGGGGGGCTATTCCAGCGTGAGGATGCACGCTTTGTCAGCCATCGACGCACCTGTGAGCGAGCGGCTTCTGCACCGGGGCCCCCAGTACTTGCGCCAGCACCTGGACGCTGCGCGGCCGGCGAGTAAGAGCGCAGTGGAGAGGTTGGCCGCCGACCGCCTCAAGTACGTGAAGAGCCAGCCGGTTGCCGGCCCCACTGGCCGGAGCTCCACTTCCGAGAGCAGCAGCGAGAGTTGCTCCTTGGTGAGCCGGAGAAGCGCCCACGACACCCTCGGCGGGGAGGAGAAGGCAGCGGGTGCTTCCCAGCCCCCCGCCCGCGCTCCGTGCCCGGTGGCCCGCAGAGTCATTGCCCGGAAGCCTCTGAGGCCGGACTCACTGGTCATCTACCGGCAGAAATGCGAGTTTGTTAAAGGGCCGGGGACCGACAACTCCAGGGGGGGCTTGGTGAAGAAGCTCTTTCAAGGGCCAGGCAAGGACAAAGCACTTGTGGCCCCTGAGATGCCAAAAGTTAGAGAGGAGGTCAAAGAGGCAAAAGCCAATGATGAGGATACTTCCCCTAGAAAGGCCTCAGTGAGCAGCCTTGGCCCCAGCACTGTCACTAGTTCAGTAGTGCCCCAGGAGCTAACTGCCCTCTCCCTATCTGGTGGGGCACCCAGCAGGTGCCAAGCTGCACCCCCTGGTCCTGAGCTCCCGGAAGTTAGGCGCAGAGGCCTGCACCGTTCTCAATCTGATATCAGCTCCAGGTACTCTAAATCCATTGCTGAGTTTGACACCTTCTTTCAATACTGTGGCCTGGATCCGGAGGTGGTGGAGGACCTTGGTAGGGAAAACTTCTCTGCAGGATCAGACCACATAGCCTTCAAAGTCCGTAGCGTGAGCATAGCCACATCAGACAGTGGCTTCTCCAGGCACAGCTGCAAGGAAGATGGACTGCAGGAAGAGGAGCTGATAGAGCAAGCCCCCGCTACGACCTCAGTCGTCGAGAAGAATGCCCGCATCATTAAATGGCTGTACACCTGTAAGAAGGCCAAAGAGACTGCCAGCAAGGGGCAATAGGAACTCGATGTCGCCTGAGCCTGCGCTTGGATACTGGAAACCTAAGGTGTGCTTTCCCAAAGCTTGAGAATAGTGCCTGTCTTTGTGTGTGATTCTGAGTGCTTGGTCCGTGTGGCCAAGTTGGATAATGGCTAGTTACAGTTCCAGTTAGAGAACAGTGCTCTAAAACTGGAAGAGACCTACTAAAACTGCAAAACTGCTATTTAACCCAGGTTTCCAGACTCCAGATCCAGTGTTCTTTCTTATGACAAAGGTTATATTTGACTGTCTGCAAAGGTAATTCTATAAATTATCACCATCATAGCTTATTTGTTAGGGGAGAAATATCAAACCATGAGGCTTTCTCCCCTGGTAAAGATGTATAATCCTGGAAACCCAAGGGAGCAGTTCTACTCTATCCTATATAGTCGCTATGAGTCAGGATCACCTCAATGGCAGTGGGTGGGTTTGTTATTTAAACATAGGAGAAATCAAACTTATTTTTAAATGCCCAGTCAGCAAGCAGCTTCACACCTCCTGTTATTATTTAAATCCTGCATTGAAAACAGCCAAGGAACACCTAATTTTTATATACATTGACCCTTTGAGACAAACTCACTGTATACTGTCTTGATTGCAGATTGCAGCTTGTAGCCTGAATGTCACCAAGTAGAAGCCAGTGTGCACTTTCAAGGGGACATTAACCAAACTTGTGAATAAGGAAAGTTCTTTGCCAGATCTTGTCAGCAGTTTGACACTCATATAGTAACTTTCTTTGGCTAAAGTCTTTTGAAATGAAAACAAAACAAAAACTTTCTAAGGTCAGTTGTGAGAGTATCAGGGAGCTTGAGTTTGTTTAAATGAGGGAATTGGATGCAATTATAACATGGCTTACAGTTCTTAACTGCTCTTATTCTAGTTTATGTATCTCTCTCATCATAATACAGAAAGTACAGTATTTCTTGGAAATATTGTGCCCATATAAATAACATGCACACTCATATACTGTGCACAATACACAGAAGAAACTCAGGAGTAAAATGATTGCTCACTTTGAAAAAAATCACATAGCACATGTGTTATATGTAAAAATACAGTAATGTGTTCCCTTTATATAATAACAGAAATAAAGTTTCTGTTCTCACAATTTTCATAAATGCCTCAAAGAAAGTGCAAGTTAGTTTTGACATGGTGACACTCAGACTTCCTTGCTGTGTGAAGTGAACAAGGAATGATTTCTTTTAGAGAGCAAATAAGATCCTAAGGCTACAGACTGGATGAGTTGGCTGCGATCAGAACAGTATACACAGTAAAGTGTTTCTAACAAAGTCAAAATGCACACAGAAACTAAGTGTTCCTTTGCTATTTATATAAATCTAAATGTGTTTCCAGTAGCACAGAGATGATTGCCAAAGTTCTTTTGCTCAATGTACTTTTCTTTCACTGAGAAACTAACAAATTTATACTTATCCTCATTTATTATCCTTATTCTTCCTTTAGCATTTTTGGGACTAGTGAGAGGAAGGGAGAAAGTACAGTTTCAGAATTCTCCTTAAGAACCAAGAATTTAAACATTGCAGTGTAATTTTCTCTTTCCTTTCTGTCACACCTTGTTATATATTTAAAGAATGCTTCATGCAATCAAGTATTGTGTTTGTTCTGGACATAAACTTTAATAAGTGGTAGGGTAACATATTACATATATGTTATGTGTTAACATAGGACATGTTTGCATGCAACTCACCTATACTTGGAGATCGAATAATAATAAAACTTAGCTTCTGAGTGACCAGAGCCTTAATACAAGCATAAATAATATAAAACATGAGAACATTTTTGTTTCTCCTGACTTGAGCCTCAAAACTTACGTTCTTCTATTTTATCAAATAATTGTTTCTTCCTCTAGTATAATTCCTCAGACAAAAGTATTTTTTCAAATAAATTACATTTTTCACAAGTTGCCTTTTGGAACAAAGAAAAATGAATACAGCCAAGAGTATTCGTTCCAAGATGCTAGCCACAACCCTATGGATGTGCTGGAGGAAACTTATAGAGCAGAGTTTGGGGGAGGACTGATCTGGTAGAGAATTAGGAGGCTTGTCTTCTGTTCAGGAGCCCTGGTAGTACAGGGAATTAAGATGTACTGCTAACTGATAGTCAGTGGTTCAAGTCTACCAGTTCCTCTAAGGAGGAAAGAAGAGGCTGTTTGTTTGCTCCCTTAAAGATTTACAGTGTCAGAAACCCTGTGGAGCAGTTCTACTCTGTCTAACAGGGTTGCTGAGTTGAAACTGACTAGACATCAGTGTGTATGTTCATCTGTTCCGCTAGTCACTCACTCCTCTACTTTGGGCCTAGGCTTCCATCTTCGATATAATGAAGAGAGAGAGACAGATGATTTCCTGTCTATGTTTTATTATTATTTGTAATCAATAATATGTTTGTCTGTGGTCCATGAGTGGAACCCAGAAAAAGTAAAACAAAAACTCATTGTGTATGTTGTTGTTGTTATGTGCCATGGAGTCGGTTCCAACTCATAGCGACCCTGTACAGGGTTTCCGAGGCTGTAAATCTTTACAGGAATAGAAAGCTTCATCTTTCTCCCGTGGAACAGCTGGTAGTTTTGAACTGCTGACCTTGTGGTTCATGGCCCAATTCGTAACCACTACGCTACCAGAGCTCCTTCATTGCATATAGGACTATGTAAAACAATCAGCTGTGAAATACGTGTACCTCCAGGTAGCTAGTGGAAACCAGAGCATTCTGTGTTTTATTTAGAGTAAGTGGGTAAAATTGATGGTGGAAGTATTGGTGAGTTTTGATGACATCCAAGCAAAGAGGGAAAACAACAACAAACAAACCCACTACTATTGAATTTATTCCAAATCATAGTGACCCTCTAGGACAAAGTATAACTCCATAGGATTTCTATAGGATTGTTGTTGTTAAGTGCCTTTGAGTTGGTTCCATTTCATAGCGAGCTTGTATAGAGCTTCTGAGGAGTGGCTGGTGAGCTTGAACCGCCAACCTTGCAGTTCAAACTGACCTTGATGCCCAGAGCATTAACCCACAGCACCACACCAGGACTCCAGAACAATGACAAGGCTGTAAATCTTTATAGATACAGGCTGCCATATCTTTCTCAAGACAACTTCAAAACAAGCCAAATTAAAACCTAACAATGCAGAAATAAAATCACTACACTGTGATCTCGCCTGACCCAGACCCATCTCCATTTCTAGCTCTCCAATTTTTATACTGGCCTGTGAGTTAATCTTTCCAAAGCCCTTTTATGTTTAAGTCTATGAAAAATATTTAACAAGCTTGGTTAGCCTGTGAGAGCTGTCACTTCACTTCAAAAGCAAAGAGACGTCATTGAAGCAAGAGGCAACTATTTTCCCTCAGAGGGAAAGTGACAGCAAGTTTGGGGAACTACAGAGAGGTGAATCTGTATAGGAGAGCCAGAGACTCGTGTATGATCTTGATTCATTGTCATGCTTCTCAATCTGCCCTCTTTTTGTTGATTTGAAGTGGGGAGAGTGTCACCTGCTTTACCAGCTGTTTCATATTTATGCTCAGAGAGGGAAATGACATCACTCAGAACCTGTATAGTCTTCTCGAGCTTGTCTTTGGCAGTCACAACACTATAAAGATTTGCTTTACAAATTTATTCTACAGGACCCAAAACTTAGTTTGAATTATTTGAAACTCCAGTCAGTACTTACTACCTATTTCTTTAAAGAATTTTGAGGAGGAAATCAGCTGGGCTTTCTCCATACTGTGACGTTGATTGCTCACTGTAATATGTCTGTCATAACCACAAACCACCTTTAAATTAAAAAAACAAAACCAAAAAAACTTCACTTCTTCTAAACAACATTTGTTTCCTCTGAAGAAGAGCCAATACAGAATCAACAACTAAAGCAAATGGGATTGCAGAGTTTGGTAGACTTTGTGTGGATAAAGCAGTTACCCTGGCAATTTAAAAACAAAAACAACCCCCCCCCCCCACACACACACTATTTACAAAGAAACTATAAATAATTACTTATTTAGAAACTAGTTTCATAATTTTTTTGAAGACATGAAGGCAAGATTTAAAATTGTACATTTTCTCTAGTTTACCAGGACAAGGCTGGTAATTCCTCTGGATTCATTTTAAGATTTCAAGGGAAATTCAGAAAATTGGAGGTGAACAAGTTAGTCTCGTAAGTGAAAGAGAAATAAATAGGTTTAATATGGAAGGGTTTGTCCCCTTACTATATAGATATTATAAATGATAATTAAAATGATTCCATCCAGACTTAAATAACTTAATAACTAGATCATCAATTTTTAACTTCATAGGGTAAAAAATGTTTGCTTTATAAAACTAAGCTGCAGTCATTGACTATCTGAACTGTAAGATGACGTATACATATAATCTACATGTATGTATACTGAGGGTCCTGGAGTAGTAGACAGGGAACTATTCATCCGTGAAACTGGATAATTTTGGTGTTCAATTTTCTAGAATTTCATTCATGAAAATTGCTCTTCTCTTGGTATTTAGTTATCTCCCTACTGTTCAATTCTTTAGACTGGGGATGTGGCAAATTTTAGGACTTCCTTGTTTTCTGGGTTGTTTTTTTTTTTGCATAGAACATTTAAGTTGTTGACTTTAATATTATGAGAAAAGAATGTTAACTTGCCCTTTGGATTAATTCATAATAAATATGATTTAATTTCAAGGAGTGAATTTAGCACTTTTCAAGCAAAACTCCTCAGATATTTTGATAGCTTTCTTCACAATTTTCTTTGGTAATAAAGAAATGCATATAGAGGCCCACAGTAAAAGCTAATGAGATGTGTTTGTGGCCCCATCATTTGCAAAGATGCATTGAGAGTATGTTGTTGTTAAGTGCTAACTGGTCTGTTTTGACTCATAGCAACCTTGCATTGGGTTTCTGAGGAGCAACTGATGATTTTAAACCACCAGCATCTAGGTTAGCAGTCCAGTGCTTATCCTACAGCACTACACTAGG